ACTCAAAAGCATCAATGCTTCTACGGTCTTCCTTATTCACTATCCAGCTTTCACATGCATATGAGGTTATTGAAAATACCATGGCTCAGGTCAGGCGCTCTTCAACACTTTAAAAAGGTCTTGTGCTGCAGATTTGCCTAATGCAATACGTCGTTTGATTTCTTGACTTTCTTGACAACTTCAATCTTTTCTCCATTGATAAGAATGTTGTTTATTTGGTCCAGTGTTGAGGATTTTTGTTTTCTTTACATTGAGATGCAATCCATACCGAAGGCTGTGCTCTTTGGTCTTCATTGTTGTTGTTAAGTGCCGTCGAGTCCGCTCTGACCCATAGCGACCCTGAACAGAGTTTCTGAAGCTGTAAATCTTTATGGGAGCAGACAGCCTCATCTTTCTCCTGCGAAGCAGCTGGTAGTTTCGAACCGCTGACCTTAAGGTTCGCAGCCCGATTCGTAACCACTACGCTACCAGAGCTCCTAACAACAACATTATGAACTCATTATTTTAAGAAAACAAATCATAACTTTCCTCTCTATTTTACAACTACAAATACCATTTTTTCTTGTCTTGGAAGTTGTTATGAAATGGCTACTTGAGTGCATTTACACAACACATAAAGCTTCTAAAACTTAAGTTCTTGACAATCTTGCTTTGTTGTGTTCAATCTTGCTTTAGAATATTTCAACCTCCTGGCATGACTGAGAGCTATATTTGGCCTTGGGTTTGCAATTCTATTTTATTCTGAAGCTAGTCTCAAAACGTTATGTAATAATAATGATAATACAGTACTTAAATTTTGTAGCCACTTAGTTTTCATCAGTGAATTCTCAGGTATCATCGCCTTTGGCTCGACATTCCACAAATATTTAGTGAACATAGGCTAAGTACGAGGGAGTTAGGCAGGGCAGTTGTGATTGTTCCCATCTGATAAAACAAATGCAGATGTTAAGTGGCATGTTAGGACTATAAGCTGTCAAGTGGTGAACCTGGGAACTGAATCTGGCCTTCTTGTTTCAAGGTAGCGTCTGGCAGAGACGTTGTTCGGTACCATCGAGTTGGTACCTACTCATAGCGGCCCTATGCACAACAGAATGAAACACTGCCCAGTCCT